GGGGCCCGGCGCAGCGTGGCTGAGGACTCCTCCTGCCTTAAGGACTCCTTCATCCAGCTGCCCCCCGCCGAGGGCCTGGAGGACGGCTTCCCGGAGGTGACCCCCGAGCAAGTCCGGCGGGAGATCGAGCATTGCAAGGTGCGTCCTGCTGTGTCCGTGAGAGGCGGATCGGGTCGGATCCAAACTGCCCCGGGACCCGCCCCGGCCGGCCTAGGCTGTGAGCTTGAGTTTCTTATTTTTTCTTGGACTGTGAGTTTCTTATTTTTTCTTGGACTACGAGCTAGGAGTGGTGGAGAGGGGGTATCCCACGGTTAAGAGAGCCTGTACTGGGGTCTGGGGCTCCGCACGGGGAGCAGCCCGCCTCCTTCCCAAATAATCAGCGTGTGCTGGGGCTGGACAGCCAGTGGGGTGGCGCAATGTCTGCAGGGTCTCACTGTCTGATGGTACCTCTCACAGGAACTTTGTAGGGCGCTGGAGCAAGACCATGCGAAGCTACAAATGGCCAAGGAAACCGTAGAGCAAAGGACACGAGAGCTGAGGAAAGAGGGAGAACTTCTTCATAAAAATCTTGAGCAACAAATGTCTTTAAACAGAGATGAAGAGAGATCCTGCCAGGTTGGTGGTCAGAGGAGTTGTCTTGGGCTTGGAAAGGTGGCAGTGGGTGGTGGGGCTGCATCACTCGGCTCACTGCTCTGAGATCACTTTGCTCTGGACCTGGTGCAGGTTTCACAGGATGTCACATCAGGCCTGTGCCGAGAAGTGAGCTAATGCCACAGCAGTGGAGGAAGGGCTGTAATCAAACGCAAGGAGCCAGGGCAGGGCTGCAGGCAGTCAAGAGCAAAAAAATGGTGTGGGTGGAGCTGTGTCCAAGAACAGTGCTGTGCTTAAAACGGAGAGCATGCTGCAGCCCCTCACATCCTGGTGGTTCCCTTACTGTCCCCTCTTTCTTTCCTTCCAGACGGGTATTTTTTTAGCAAAGGAGGAGAAGAACAGACTGATGCAGGAGAAGGAGGTGCTGAAAAAGAAGCTGAAAGAAGTGAGGAAGAGGGTCTGCTGGGAGGATCCGGTGATGGTAACAGAGCGTGTGTGGGCACTCGGGTCTGCTGGCAAGGGGCGCGAGCCTGGCTGGAGAGGCTGCAGGTGAATGTATCTGGGCATTGTGTGACGACTGGCACAGCTCCTGCTAGCGGGTGTCTCCTCTGCCAGGGCCAGAAGCTCCAGTCGTGGCTTTGGGACTCCAGGCATAGCCGGACCCTAGGAGAGACTCTGCTGAGGCTCTCCAGCTGCTTATTTTGAGCCATGAGCTTGTTTCTAGGCTGTGGATTGGCAGGGACAGGCCCTGTGTGGGGTCCAGTGTCGTCCAGGTGCTGTCTGTGTACTTGAACCTAGATGCTGCCTGCCTTGCCAGAGAAGAAAATGGTGTTTAAGGGACTTGTGACAAACAAGGAGGACACAAACAAGCTGATGCTCACCCCACTGATCCGCTACCCTCTGCTGGGGGGCTCAGCTCTCATCACCTTTGAGAAGGCAGAGGGTAAGAGCGAGAAGAGCATTGCCACAGCCAGGTATCCTGGTCGATCGGCTTTGGGGCCTGCCCTGCATCCCCTCCCTGGGCCAGGGCTCAGAGCTCTGCCCCCTCTGCCGGCATTGTGCGGGGTTATGCCCCCTCCCCAAAGCATTAGCTGCCCCGTGTCCTGTCCGGCGGCGCACTCGGAGCAGGCGGTTGATCCCCTGTGCTGGGGGCTCTCCCTGCTTGCAGTGGCCCAGAGGATCATAGAGGTGAAGGAGCACGTGGTGGAGCTGAGCTACGGGGAGGAGCTGGAGGAGCTTGATCGGTGCAGAGTGCGAGTGCAGGCAGCACCAGTGGACATACTGCTGCCATCCGCCCTGGAGGTAGGTCCTGAGGGCCCGCTGCTCCCCGCACCGCAGAGAACCACAGAGCTGCCCTGGGCACGCACCAGCTTTGCTGTGCCCTGCTCTGCCACTCCCTGAGCTTGCCTCTGCCAGGTCGCTGGTAGCAGCCCAGCTCAGTGCATTAGCGCCGCAGCTCTGTACTGCTCCCCTGAGCTCTGGGGCTAGCCCTGCCCTGCCCTGGCACTGACCAGCCTGTGCCACCCACAGATGAGGCTGACTCGGAACAGCAGGAGTATCCTCGTGTCTGACCTGCCCAGCCTGGGCATCCCCGAGGAGGCACTGCTGGACAAGCTGGAGCTCTTCTTCAGCAAGACAAAGAATGGGGGCGGCGAGGTGGAGAGCAGGGAGTTCCTGGACAACTCTGGCCAGGTGGTGCTGACCTTCGCGCAGGACGGAGGTGCGTGGGGCGTGCTGAGCTCGGGCTGCCAGCAAGGGGGGAGCAGCCCAGCTGCCTCTGGGGGGGCACAGGCCATCTCCCAAGAGCAGATGGAGCTGTGTCTGTGGGGAACAGGGAAGGCAGAGTGAGCCCAGGCTGTCCTGTCTCCCCTGAGACTGTGCTGGTGCAGGTGAGCTGGGGCTGGGCAGTGCCAGCCTTGGTGTCTGTGCCAGGGACGTAACCTCCACTGGAGCTCAGCAGGGGCCTGGGTGGCTCAGGGCTTTCCTCTCCATCTGCAGTGGCAGAGCTGCTAATTGCAAGAGGACACATCCAGGTATCTGTTGGGAAAGGAAAACACAAGCTCAAAATATCACCGTGCATGAGTGGAGACATCACTAACCTGCAGGTAAGGGCACGAACCCTGGTGCCAAGCAGCACCTGCCAGCCCAGGGCGAGCCAGCACGGGTGGGGGCTCCTGAAGACCCGCTCCCCACGCTGCCGTGCAGCCCAAGGCGCAGTTCCTGCAGGCAGCCCCGAGCAGAACAGCATTCCACCCTGCTCAGCAAGTGCCCCAAGGGGACCCCTTCCCTGCGCGCCCTCCCACCGCCCCGCGTGGCACAGGGCCCACTGGGGCTCACCCCCGGCTCTGCCCAGCTCCAGCCCTCCCGCTGCCCCAGGACTGTCCTGCTCTCGGGGATCCCAGACGTGCTGGGTGAGGAGCCCATGAGGGATGCCCTGGAGATCCACTTCCAGAAGGCCAGCCGCGGCGGAGGAGAGGTGGACACCGTCGCCTACGTCCCAGCAGGACAACAGGGGGTGGCCGTTTTCATGGAGGACGCATGCTAGCCCTGGCCAGCCCCATCACCCCGATGCAGTGCAGTTCCGTGCGGCCGCTGGCCCCTGGGCACAGTGGAATTAAAGCATCTGCAGGGACTGCCGTGTCTGTCGTGCTGGGGATGGGACGGGGACGAGGATGGGCCCTGCGTGCAAGAGCCGTGGGCAAGGCTGGGCCCTTCACGGGCACGGAGACGGCGGTGGACCGGCCTCCCGGGACGGGCTCTGTGGGCACCGGGGCCGGGCCAGGCGGG